CCACATAGTTTCTATGGATGTCTCGCGTTGAGAAATCCGGGAAGTGAATTTTCTGTGAGACGAAAGGCCTGAAGAAAACACACAATGAATAAAAACAGAAGATAAAGCAGTTAAAAAACTGAAGATTAGAGGTAAAAGCTGTGAAAAGAGTGTTTCCCCCACCTGTTGGTCTTTGAGGGATTGTACTCGTAAGATCCACGAATGGCTTTCTGCATTCTCTCTGAATTGATTCGCCAAAGTTTTAGGGAGTGGTCCATCCCACATGACATAATCTTTTCACCCAGAAGATCAAAATCCTGCAGCGGGATTACAATACATATATATATTTATCATGGAAATCCAGGTTGTGAGTGTTGTTATTCCCAGAGGGCAGATTTAACCATACTTACAGCACTCAGGACTTCATCTCGATGACCTTCCACACCACCAAATATTGCCACTAATGTGTCCGTCTGTATGTTCCATAGACGAAGGGCATGATCTGAGGACACAAGTAGAGTCACTTATGAATAAAACCAGGTCCTTTCATACATGCAAGCATCAGATAAATCACTTTAATTATAATGACTATTGAGTAAAAGCTCTTAAAACCCACTTTACACTACCTGCTCAGCAGCAAACAGCAGACAGACACAGTTGCTGGTGAACAGTGGAGCATTTAGCAGCTAAAGAGCCAGATATTTCCCCCAGGGGTTGGAAGAGACCAAATACAGAGCTAAAAGAGAGTGAATAATGACCTTATAGTCACCAGGTGGACAGAAACACGACTCCAAATAAATGCTAATGCTGCCCTGTAACTGCTGGATGTGGAAATAAGCTGCTTTTTTTTGCTAACATGTTCAACAGATCTTGTTACTGAAGGTTTAACAGCTTCTTCAAACAGCAGGCAAATAACTCTCAAATCATTTATCTCCTGTAAACAAGCAAACAATCAGCAGATTTTTGCCTCCATTACAGGATTAAAATCAGGTTGGACAGTGTGTATTTTACTCCATGTATCAGCTGTTGGTAGAGCTAAATTAAATGAGTGACACCTCCTTTACACTGAACCAACTGTAGCGAGGCGAGCAGAGGTGGATGTTCTGGGCACCGACACGGTGAGAATGTGTGAATTGAACAACTTTAAAGCAGGCTGTAACTGGAAAAACATTCACCTTTGCTGCCCTTATCAAGCAGGACATGCTGCTACCTGGGCCATGAGGGACTCGGATTAAGGAACCACCTGACAGTCACATGGTCATATAACTGAGGAGTGACCTACTTTTTATTTTGCTTTATAGACGTGCCATAAAGGTAGCAACAAATCAGGAATGAGCTCTATAAAGCCATCAAGGTTTATGTTATTACATCCAAGAATGGGCCTTTTCACATGTCACTGCTGTTGTATTCACCCTACAAATGAATATGTGAAATGCTGTCCTCTTATTGGCTGTCCTGTGTCACAGTTTAATTGTATACGAAGCATTTTAAGGTTACTGCAGGTCTTTTACCTTTGCTGACAGACAGGAGGAGATTTGGATCCCTCGGATGAAACTTGAGCTCATTGATGGCGTTTCCATGACCTACATAATGCTGCATTTGACACACACAAAACAAATGATAATTGTAGACAGGATCTTGATTCATTCACACTCATAAAACTTGATTTCCCCTCCCAGGTCAACAGTATATGCCACATAGAAGTGGTACACATCGTCGGCCGTTGAGTGGAAGAGGTTAATGTACGGGGAATGACTTTTGGTGAATGGTTTATGATTCTAAATGCAGTTTTATATCAAATCCTAACTGGGGCTACCTGTACCTGAAAATGTACAGGTAGATGTATATTATGTGTGTTCAGCAAGAGGGCAGCGTGTGTGCTGGGTTCCTCCAAGAAGAAAGGAGGGCTGTGTGCCAAGAGATGGCAGAGCGACTCTACCTTGATACACTGCATTGTGATGTGGTTGATCACCCGAATGATGCCGCGGGAACCGGCTACAGCCAACAGTGGATGACTTGTGTTGGTGTCGTACGTCCAGGCACACGTATAGAAGTTCTCATCTGCCTTTGCAACACATTCAGTCAAGGAAATTCAAACAAAAAAAGACACTCAGTGAGCTTCAAACTGACCTCGCCTAAGAGAAGGTCGAGTCATTATTTTTCTGCAACTTGGAAAGTTTAACAAGGTAATTGTAAGACATTTTAAGACCACTGTGAATGCAATTTAAGACCAATGATACATCCACATACTGGCAAAAAACAACCTAAAAAGTTGCAATATCCAAATGGCAGAAGGAGCTTTTTTTTTATACTGGACCAACTCTGAGTTTGGGGCTTTGCTTTAAGGCTGGTATGGTAAAGCGGTTGATATTAATGCACTCCTATCTAAACTGTGGCAGAATCTCACTTTAAATGAGCGATTTTAAAGCAAGGCAGGGTGATAAAAGAACACTTAAACTGGAAACTTACTTTTAAAGTCCCATTTTTCCCCACAGTCAGCAAGACACTACATGGTTTTTATCTTCCTCAAATGATCTCCAGAACACAAGGTGTAAACAGCATTTCTATGGAAACATTTCAAGTATGGCCTTATCTTAATACAGTCTTTGTTTGGTTTACCTCAGGTCACAACGAATTAAATGCGTCTGTGCTGGTTCTGTCATCTACGCTTAAAACAAAAGCAGCTTGTCTTACTTTGTGGACATGAAACTGTATCTTGGTGAGAGAATGACAACGAGGAAGGAGACAGTTTTAAAAGCATCTCGAATGAGTGAAAGGATACATCTGCGTCGACATAAGACTGCAGGAGTCTTATTTCTCCCTGAGAGTGACATTCATACAGAGTGACCTGGTGGAGAAAAGACAGCACGAAAGTTACGTATAGAACAACATCCAGTGGAAAACAAAAAGGTTACACACGCGTAGCTGCACAACATGCTGAATCAAGAAATACCACACGACTCCCGCGTCCGTCAGCTGCCTCATCATCACCTACCCTGTTACTCCCGACTGTGGCAAACACCAGCGGGTCTCCCTCCTTGCTGTGCCAGTTAAACTGGACTCCAAACAGCGGCTGCCCGTGGTCCTCCTGCAGAAACCGTCACGTCATTATGAATTCAGAGGAAGTGAAATGAACACGACTGCACTCCTGTAAAGATCTAAACAACGTTAGGACGGATTTGATCGTCACTCTCGTTCCTTAAAGTCACGATTTCATCTGTTTATTAAGCGGCGTCGACGTTGTTCGAGGCGGCGCCTGTACTCACCCTCAGACTGTTGACACATTTAAAAGAATATCTGCACTTCTTGGACTTCCACTTGCCCTTGCCCCAGCTCTTTCTCCCCGGGGCGTTGGCTGTGTTGGTGGGTGTGTCTGGGCGCTCTGCGTTGGTCCCGCTCTCAACACTGACAGCATCGTCCTACAAATGCACAAATAGATAAAAGATACAGGTGTCTTCGCTGGTTACTGTCACAGGAGGAGAAGCGCACATAATCAATGATCTGATCTGTACTTTACAAGCTGAACAATAACTTGTTGCCAGTATCTGGAGCTGTCTAATCTGCATATGTGGAAGCACCATGCTGCAGGTAACTCTGCTCCCATCAGCATCCTGTCACTATACTGAGCTGCAGCTGCTCTACAAACCTTGAAGCACTTTATTCTTGCACAAATCATTTAACATACAGCTTTTATACACTTATATATGCTCAAAAAAAAGGTAAATAGTTTAAATAAGCGACCATAATGGCTCTGCTTTAGTTGCTATTTCCCTTCTATGTTGCTAATACCAATAAACAATCATCCCTCCAACCTTAATGCAGCTACTTTAACACAAATGCACATTTTAATGAGTTATCTCCCTGATTAACTTCTACTAGCCGCTGGTGCTACAGCTAACCTAAAGGTTACACGTGAATGCCTGCAGTCTGAGCACGAAAGACGAGACATCAGGTGTTTGCAAGACACAGACCCGACCAGGGATCGTAGGACCACCCACCGCGGACACAATAAAGTCATAATATCATCTTATATCGATGACAACCAGCTGTTTGAACCTCGCCGGTAACAGCGGGACAAAAAGCTGCTGGCTAACACCGCTTTAGCTGGCCGGCTACTTTAGCACGATGCTAACCCGCTAAAAGGCAATTTATGGCTCATTTCGTCGATTAAACAACTCGGTTTGACCGCTTACATTCTCGTCTCCTGATAAATCGGGGTTGCTGTTCTCGTCACTGCTTAGTTTTTGTTTTTTCGCCGGTATTTCTTTTCCCGCTTGAGAGGGGGGATCGGACGTGTTCTTATTTTCCCTCATTTTGGCTCAAACTCCGCCTCTTCCGCCGCAAGTGCTGCTGGGTATCGTAGTTCGAATCGGTCTCAAGTTGTAGTTCTTTTTTTTTTTTTTTAGTTCCGTTTCATTTAAATTTAGAAGAAAAACAAAAAGTCACGGATGTTTTTTTTTATGTTAGGTATAATTTTTTATCAGCATTTTACATTGTTTTAACATTTTTTACAATGAAAATATTTTAGAAGCTGCAGCTATATTAATAATAATCAATAATCATTAAGTTCAGTGCCATTAAATGCACTAAATGTCTCACCCAATCTCTCTAATATCAAGACTACAACCAGTATCTCTTGTGAGGGAGTTGAGGTGGTCCAGATACTAATGGATGCTGCTTTTGGATACCTCCTTTTTTGTAGTTTTTTCAATGCTGGAAGGACTACATCTTCCAGTTGGCCTAAGAGCATATCCCCCTGGAGTTAGACATTGCACAGTGACAGGAGCCACCCTTGAAGATGGTTGGAAGCATCTTGCATATGCTACAAAGCTAACATCTATTCATTTCTTTAGAGGTTTTGCAGAAACATGTTTTCATTTGACTGAAGGAGAGTCAGGGAGTTATCAAACTGTACGAGCCCACACAGTCCTAAAAGTCTAATCAGTCAGAATAAGTGGGATCACCTGTGTGTGTGTGCTTCAACCAAACTGAACGCAGGCAAAATAAAACACAAAAACATGCACATTTACATATAATCATTTAATAAAAAACTGTTTACAATCATAATGTTTTTTGAAATACACAAAAATCTGTTCACAGTCCAACATTATTATTGTTGTTGGAAGGAGGTGGATTGGCTTCAGGCCTACAGGATCATGTCTGCACCCTCCAAAGAGGCCACACTCATCTCCTCAGACAGTTCATCATCCTCCCCATCCTCCTTCCTTCCTCCTCCTCCTCCTCCTTTTCCTCGTCCTCCTCAGCTGCTCTCTTTATGCCCCTCTGTTTCGACAGAGCCACCGCGTAGCGAATGTTATACATGTTAAAGTCACACCTGTGCAAAGAAAACAGATTAAGGTTTCAGGGTTCACTGAGGCCACTTCTACAATAGTAGAGGTTGATGTTGACTTACAGTTTGGACAGATTGTCAAAGTGTCTCTGGATGCTCTTCTGCAGCGCCTGGAGCGTGGGCAGTATGGCCCCTGACCTGCACAGAGAGAGAATCAGATTCAGTCACTCACAGTTACATCCAGACAGTAATGTGCACTTAATGAAACAGTCATAAGGGACTGGGAGCAGACCTGTTCTTGAGTTTCTGACCGTGCAGCATGAGCAGGCTCTGGGCCCAGGTCATGTAGAACTGCAGGTGACCCGACTTCTCCAAACACGCCGCCACGAAGCCCAGCAGCTTCTCAACGTAAATGTCAGGAAGAGAGCCGCAAACCACCGGGACTGGAACAACAAACACAGGAAGTTAAATCATAGCCACTCGTTTTTAAATCCACTGCGTTGTGAGAAGGACGGTTCACTCACTCTGCTCATGCGGCACCTTTTCCAGCACTTCCTGCTTCAGGGCTTTTTCGTTGAGCCTGAACGCCAGGACGATGGCCGATGCCCACTCCTGAAGCCGCAGCTGCTTATGTATGCTGGCCGGCGTCACGTCCAGGTCGAGGTCGTACGGGTCAAAGACCAGAGATCCATCGAGGGAGTAGACCAGCAGGCCTTCGGTGGTGGTGGCAGACCAGCTACGACCTGAGAAAAGATGGAACTACTTTATGAAACCGGTTTCGCCCTCGCAGTCGTCGTCTTAAACTTTATCTTAACTGTATGCGATTAAAGTATGTGTTTTAAAACTTTTAAAAAGTTCTTATTATTTCTAAGCAACCACTTTTGATCTCCTTTGTCAGATTTGACTGCTACTCACAAAACTTGATATTGCCAACTTCTGGCAGAGGAAAAACACTTGTAATTCTGTCACCTACCAGTAGGGGAGAACCGCAGCGAGCTCACTCTGATCTCTGGCTTGAAGTGGCGAGAACTCATATCACCTGTAAAGATATACAGAACGTAAAAAATACATAAAGAATAAACTGCAGTGAGAACAAATTCTATCAATTTATGAACAAAAATATTGAATCCAAATCGACCTAAAGCACTTCTTGCATATAAAATCACTGAAATGACCTTGTTTTAATCACTGCAAATTCCTAAACCTCTATTGGCAGAATTAAGACATTCTTATAATTCATAATATCTGTGTTGAAGCGAGCGTCATACCTTTCCTGACTCCAGGGAGGCTGATGTTGACGCTGTCTCCGTCTCCAGCTCCCTCGTCCACCAGAGCCAGGCTGCCGAACTCCGTCATCTTCCGTCGGTCCAGGAACTCCTGAAGGGAACGTAGGACCACAATCAGATAACGGGGCTCACACGCTAACTTACACACCGATTTTCAAGACTGAAGGTCTGTTTTTTTTTTTTAAATGAACCCACTGTTTTCCCTTTAAAGCTCAATACTACATTTAACGCTGTATCTGCAGTTGAGAGCAGTTACAGGTCCTGACTGAGCTATAGGTAAGGCCGTGTACCTCCATGGCATCAAAGGACAGGTTGCAGGAGATCTCAAACTTCTTCATGAGCATCTGCTCCTTGACGTTGTAGATGCAGACAAACTTGGACTGGCCTCCCGCCAAAATCGACTCCCCGTCCGCAGAATAACACAGCGACGTGAAGGACCTGAAGCGTGAAGCACAACCTCAATCAGTGCACGCAGTAAGTCATCAAATCAAACTTTTCTTCTGTGGTTTGGACTGCAGGAAATGTCTGTTCAGTTCTCTCACTCACTTTCCCTTTGCAGACTGTTTGGCTGTGATTTTATCTGTCTCTTTGCGGCCCATCTCCAGGTCATGGCGTCCAGCCACGGAGCCGGTTTGTGTGGCCGTGTGCGGGTTCCAGAAAGAGATCTCACCGTTGAGGGTGGCCACAGCCAATTCCTGACCATCAGGGCGGTAAGTCACTGACAAACCTGAAGGGGGAAAAAAACATTTTAATGTGTGATTTTGCAGTTGCTTTTCTGTAGTCCCTTCCTGAAATCCCCCAAATAATCCTCCATGGCTTAAAAAACTTGCACAGGAATAATGATACAAAGTCCACCTGAAACAGATTTTGCACATTCTTGTAACCAGAAACTATGGAACCAGGGGAACTAAAGACCCTTTTTTGCATTCCTGTTTGCACTGTGAAGATAAGGCAAATAGACCTAATGTCAGTAAGAGAGACTTCTTTGTGTTGTGAGTGAATTAGTGAGGGTCTGCCCTACAAACTGTGGCCCTAACGAAAGTATTACCGCTGGAGTAGGGATTTTCTTAGCACCTGGAACTATCATACGGCAATCAAATTTAGTCCTTCCTCCCCTGGGAAAGTTCCTACACTGGAAACGCCCTATTTGTGTGTGCCCCCTAGTGGCAGTATGGAAAATGACAACTCCCAACACACAAATGACCAGGCTGCATCACTGCTGTTTTACTCAAGAAACCATATTTACCATCAGAGTTGAGGGCAAGTGTTTCTTTGACCTGCCAGCTGTCCAACATGTCCCACAGCCGGATGGTGCGATCCCATGAGGCGCTGGCCAGGATGGACTGGACCGGACTGAAACACAGGCAGCTGACGGGACCCTCGTGGCCTCCAAGGACCTATTCAGTCACAGGGCAGGAGGCATAAAGGAGTACGTAAGTGCATGTTTAAACATATCCCACTTCTTTATTGCATGTCACAAGAAAACCTCAAAATAGATAATTGAGAGAAGACGTGTCATTATGTGCCTACCTCCAGCAGTCTGCCTGTCTGCATGGACCACAGAAAGATCTCAAAGGAATCCTGAGCTCCCGCGCTCACCAGCTCTCCACTGACATCTACTGCGAGAGAGGAGAACTGCGCAGGCCGAGGCGATGTGAATGTCCTGAAGTTTCTGTACCTGTAATACAGAAAACGGACACGCAGTCATGTACAGCGGAGCTAACGTGCAATGTATTCAAACAGTACACACCCATTTCTGTTCTGTGTTTTTGCTCAGTTGTTATCTCATCGCTATACGTCACCTGTGCAGGTCGAACGCTCTGACCGTCCCGTCCAGAGAAGCGCTGACGATGACGAAGCCGCTGGAGGTGAAGGTGACGTTGGTGACGCTGCTGGTGTGCTCTGTGAAGGTGACGAAGCAAAGGCCGCTGTTGGTGTTCCACACTTTGACCTGTGGAAATGAAACCACAGTCTGATCTCAGACACAACCACCAGGATTCGCACGTGTACGAGTCCTTCGCTAGTTACTGTTTTTTTAATTATTTCTCTGTAGAACAAACATTTTTCAGCCCCTGAAATGATTACATTTCTTCTTCCTGGATATGACTGGTGAAATACATAGCGGTGTGAAGCGTGGAGCACTCACTTTGCCGTCGTCGCCCCCTGTTGCGATGTGCTGTCCGTCGGGTGAGTAAGCCAGCGAGGCCATGTTGTTGAAGTGTCCCTGCTGCTTGAAGACATACGACTCGCTCTGCCATTCCCACACCAGCAGCTGACCCATCCCTGAAACAACAATCCTTACATAAAAAACCCCCACAAAAACAGGTACACTCTGTGCTACTTATTAGAGAATATAAAACAAACACATCTTCTTACCTGAGCACCCAAAGGCGAACCAGTCTACAAAGCTGTTTATAGCCACTGAGGTGATTCTCTGGTCTGAAATACTGGAAGTAGACACATTTAAAGCCATCATTCAAATGGGAAAACAGTGCTTTTTAAAATCTACCCTGCCATAAACAAAAAGTTAACTTTTCTCTCACCTTAAGGAGTGTATAAGGTTAAACTCTGGAAGTTCGTGCAGGTGGAAGATTCCAGAGGCGAAACCTGTGACCAGGATGTGAGTCGGCTTGTGGTAGGCGGCGGTTATCAAGTTGTTAAAATCCCCCTCTTTGTTAAAGAAGTGTCTACAAGAGCAGAGAAAAAGGTGAATAAAGAAAGTAAGGCTGCAGAATCAGTTGCTTTTTGCCTTTATTTAACTTGCTGAGGAGCATCTGAAGAAGCAGCTAATATCTTTAGTATCAACTCAAAATTTGGCACTTTGGAGTACGGACACATTCTGAGTCCCCATCTGGTATTTATCTTCACTCTGCACCTTGTTGGGGAGGAAGTTTATGCAGTTTCTGAAGCTTTAATTGAAAAGAAAAATGACTCCAAGACATGTTGTTTTTCATTACAAATGCTGATGCTGCCATTACAGTTTTAGAGCAGCCAAGGGACAAATAAACCTATGCTTGTGTGAAGCCAAGAGCTTAATGGAGGGCTGGATAATTGCCACTCAAAGTGTCAAACACTACAGTGAATTCTTGGAAGGACTTCTGGTTGTGAAGAACTACTGTGACTGAGAGACTGGAATGAAAACATTTACTATTAAATTCAACTGCTACTAAAATAAAATATGTAATAATGGATTATGCCACCATAATAATGAATGAAGGACAGCACAGTAAGTCTTACTTGCTCCTCTGCTTGTATCGAACGTTTTTGGTCTTCTCTTTTGGAGATTCAGCTTTCCCTCTGATGACATCTCCCTCCTCTCCCTCCATCCTCTCCTCCTCACCCTCCTCCTCTTCGTCCCCTTGCATAGGGGTCTTGGGCTTGTCCCGGTTCTTCTTCAGGACGAGGCCGTCCAGCTCGGTGTCGCTCTCCCAGACACACAGCGTCCCGTCCTGGCTCACCGTATACAACTACAAAAACACAGAATATGGATGTTCCCATACTCATCCTTTGAGCCCAAATCACAAACGTAGCGGAAGGCAAAAAATAAACTCACATCCAGGCTGTCTTTCTCAAAGAAACAACCCACGATGGTATCCTTGTGTCCACCCAGGGAGTAGTAGATAAGGTTGGCCCAGCGCTCTGCACCAAACACCCACGTTGACATGTCTTTGCTGCCCACCACAAAACACCTGAAGGAGACAAAATAACACCAGTCCAACTAGTTCACAAAACAGTAACACGTTGTTCGGTATCAGACGTCAGCCGATTTAAGTGTAAATGCTAAAACTTCACAATAAAGAGTCTTAAATGTGCCACTTGTTTTTTACCTTTACCGAGATGTACTGACATATTAAATCGAACAATTTTTGAATGAAGTTTGGTGTGGCGTTCTCTCCCATACAGTAGTTTTTACTCACTTGGAGTCGTCCGTCCAGTCGATGCAGGTGGTTTCATCGTAGGGACCGTAGTAGCTCTTGTCCAACACGAAAGCGTTAAACTCCCGCTGCTTTCCAGGCGCGTGGTACATCAGAGCGACGTTCTCCTTCGTAACGACAAACTTCCTGAGGGGGAAAAACACATCAAAGCCACAAAGACAAAGAATTAGAAGTTAATCAGGAACTTTATAGTCCGTAATGTTTATTATTGATAATTTTTCAAGCAGAAATAGCAGATATTTGCTGGTTCCGGCTCCTCAAATGTGAAAATTTGCTGCTTTTCTTTGTCAAATATGACAGTAACTATAATATGTTTGGGTTTTAGAGTGATTACCTGCCGTCAGGTGAGAAGCGGATGCTGCTGACAGGCTTGTGAAAGTGGAAATGATGAAGGACGGCTCGGGTGATGAGACTGACCAACAGCGCTGCGCCATCTGTGTGACACAAACACAAGACACAATTTTGTTATTTTATGCTTGATTAACAGGTAAAGTTTTATTCAAATCAGGGGAACCGCTTACCTTCATCCACCACGATTGCTAAATGTCCATCAGGAGAGAGACCCACACATGTTATGTTTTTTGTTGTGGAGATGGGTAATGTCTCAGATGTGTTGCTATGAGACAAAGAAGAAAGAAAATTAACTCTTTTTTTTACTGCATTTCAGCTCAGCTCTAACACTTTCATGTATTTAACCATGACTTACTTTTTCAGGTCAAAGACAGAGACTCTGTTTCCAACCGGACTGATCACAGCGTTGCCATCTTTAGAGAAATTCAAATTCCCCTGACGATAGACTGCTCCGAGCAGATTGGAAAACTGCAATAAAGACACAGTTGTTTTTCTTTTTATATCACTTTTAAGACACAGAACCTGCTCCCGAACTCCATTCAAAACTTCATGTGAATTTGTGTTGTTTTAGTAGAGGATAGTTGGAGCAGAGCCCATTTAAAAACCATAAAATCATACAATAAAATGCTTGTTTGGTATCAAAGACGACAGCCGAATTTAAGCGTGAATACTAACACTTCACATTAAAACGTCTTGAATGTGCTACACGACCTTGTACCTTTAATATGTTAGAAAATACTGAATAAATCAAATTTTGAATGAAGTTTGGTGCCATACATTAGCTGCAGCTCGTCGTTGCCGAGCAGCGCGACAGTTCCAAGTTAGCAGGCAGTGGCGCACTTACCCTGTAGGCGAACTTCATTTTAGTGAATATCCCTTAACCCTGACGCATTTATCTACTTATTTGTTCCTTTATACAAGTCAGTGGAAGTGTAAATATACAAAGCTGACATTACACATGCTTCTTCCTCCACCGCTAACCCACACGTGTTTGCATTTTGTTGACACTTGACATTTCCGGCTTGAGTTGAGGTAAAGTCGCCCTCTAGAGGCGGGGAGTCCAAAATGGCACATCAGCTTTTATTTGAGACTAAATCCAGTCAAATTAGAAGAAAAAACTAAATATAATCAATAATATCTATTAGAAAAGCGAGTAAAATGCAATGAATAAAGTTCAAATGAGGGTGCTTTATGGTTTATTTTGGCTCCTTGTGTTGTCACAAATATCAAATACAAACACACAAATACACATTTCTTGTAGTATCTTTATATTGTAAGGCTAGATCTAAAAAACAACAACTAAATTTAACAGAGGATGTTCACACAAAAAGGGGAGCAGTTTGGGTTAAACCTGCTTGAATCAAAATATGTTTTTCAGTATCTCTAACAAGTATTAACCTTCAATTAGCGTAAGCAGTTAAGAGTCCCATAAGACAGCAATCCAAATGTATTTTATTGTATTAAAAAGTGGGACTACGTAACTTCTGAAAGCATAAATAACTTATTTCTTTTACAAGTTAAAAGTTAAACTCATAGGCAATTAGAAGAGGAAATTAAGGCAAATTTCACGAAAGGGCAATTAATCATCCTCTTCTGATATATACACACACATTTAGACACAAACATACAAATCCTGCTCCAAATAAATGACACACTTGGAACGAACACAGGCCGCCACTGGCTTTCACACGATCCCTCTGGTCCCATGTTCACCCAATACGCCCCCGCTGCTGAATAATTGAGCATCTGGCAGCTACGGTACAGTGCACGTGTACAAGCGGGGTGGTGCCTGAAGCTGAAAACAATACTGTACAATTACACCGCAAAGTGAGAGACAGTAATAGTTTATATTTGCATCTCGAGGTGTTTCAGTGCAAAGAGCCGGCCCCCGTGTTCCCGTTTCCATTGCTTTTTATTAGAAAGATCTAAAAAACAGTGTGTTCAGCAGGCTAAACAACAACCGATAAGAAAAGTGTCTCATATCACAAGCTCTTTTTCACCTCAGCGTTTTGTGCCAGAGGTCGAAACAAGGCACGACATGCAGCCGGACATATTTCTGCCCCCCGGTCGAGCACTCCAGACAGCCGTAAACGGTTTCCCGCTTCTGATTGCCCATGCCGCAGAGGGCGCAGGGCCCCTTGGGGATGTTGTGTTTGAGGAGGTTGGCCCGCGTGTGGGAGCTTTCTCTCAGGTAGGCAGTGGACACGTCCGTCATGCTGGCTGCTTTCTCGTAGTAGTCGGTGACCATGTCGTCCATGTAGGTGTCGGAGTGGGTGAGCTCCTCAAATGTTCTGTTTTCTACGCAAAGAGTTGGACAAAGCAAAACTGTAGCAAATATGGTGGCGTGTTTATGATGAAGCAGAGGGTCGTTATTGTATGTACCTGCTCTGAAGGGGTTCCCGTAGATGATTCCAGACAGGAACCGCCGCAGTCGACCCATGGAGAAGTGACCGATGAAACCCCCGAGCTGCTCCCTGATCTGCTCCCGCTCAAACCCACCTTGAGACTCCGGAGCGACACAAATATCTGACACAGAGGAAGAAAATGTGTGTGTAAGAGAGAGTAACTTCAGGCAGCAATGCAGGTGTATTTACATCCTGCAACTATTGATTAGTACTTTCACAATTAATCATTTGGTCTATAAAATGAGGTCTTAAAGGTCCAGTGAGTTACATTATGGAGGATCACAGCTAGAAAACCGTACACACTGGACCTTTAAAATGTTTCTATGTGTCTGACCAACAATCAAAAACCAAAAGACGTTTTTTTTGCACTATCATAGATGACGAACAAACCCAACAAATATTCACATTTGAGAAGTCAGACAAGTTAATTTTGACACTTTTGGCCTTTAAACAATGACTGAAATATCAAAATAGTTGCAGTTTCATTTGTAAATGTTGACCTTGTAAAGGAAAGCCACCTACACAGCCGTAAATGTGAAACATTGTCCTTTATGGTGACTGGAGACTACGACTTTGGCATTATCTGATCTCTCATTTGAGGACTTTTTGCACTAAATTTGTTCTAAGATGAGTTAAGAACTATTGATCACTTATCAGGGTTCAGTCTCCCACAGAGAGATTACAGGATTTAGCAGACAAGATTTTTCAACCACGAAGGGATTCGAACCCTCAATCTTCTGATCCGAAGTC